AACAGATCTTTCGTATATTAATAACAGTGTCTAAGTTCAAAAATTCTCATGTATATTCAAAATGAAAATCAAATTTAGAGACCAGTATAAAATTCTTCTTATTTTTATTTAACTCACAGCAAGTACTTATGAATCTCGTTTTAAGGGTCTTCATTAAAGATAACATATTTGTACTTTAAATCGAAAGAAACAAGCAATTAATGCATGTACCTTTTACTGCCATAAACTTCTTAAGTAGTACGATTTTGACAACCTTCAAAACACGAACTTAGAAGTTGTTCAAACGTTCTGTCCCTCCGTCCATCATTTGCAACCCTAAAGGAGCAGAAGGTGCATCAGGATGGCGTCAAAACACCGCGAGCAGAAAATGTAGTCTTTGGTCGGCCGCCTCAGAAGTGGTTGAAAGGGGGTTGGTGTAGCGAGATTTTTCGAGACTGGCCCCGTCGTTCACGGCCGCAGGGTAGATTGGCAAAGCAACTTTTGGAATCCTCTTGGCATCGTTGGGAAACGTTCTGGAGTAAAGCGCGAGTCGACGTCGCTGGCGACGCCGGCGAAGAGGGTGGAAAGATTTAGAAGGTGGTTGGGGTGGTCGAGTCGGAATCAAAGGAGTCAAAAGAGCTTTTCCAGGCTTCCCCCTCGGCCGGCTAGATTGAACTTCTTTTCCGCTCACGGAGTTTTCCTATTACTCCGAATTTCCAGCCGCGGCAAAGCCAGCGAGCGCGAACCACACTCACACGCGGGCAACGCCACTGTGCGCGTGGCGAAAGTTTGCCCGGCCGTGTTACGAGGGTGGTTTACCGGGCTGCTTGCGGTCGTATCGCGAAGGAAATTTCTTTTCATCGGTGAACACGCTGGCCAAGAGTGCACTGAACCCGTACGCTTTATCGCCCAGGGAAAAATTGAATTTATTAGGAACATGCACATATTTGCTACCCGGTTAAACCCTTCCCGCATGCAGTACATGTGACATAAATCAAATTTTCCTTTATTTTGCGCGTCAGCTGTTTTCTAAACGGCGTAGATTCTACTTTGGAGATATCTAAGAATTGTTTGAAAAATATTGGGAGAGATTCGGGTAATCTTTTTCAATTTGTTATTAAATTTTATTACTTTTATTAAATTGTTAGATGAATGATATTAGCTGTTTTTTAAGATTATTCCTATTTCGAGATATTTAGAAGTTGAATTTCTTTAGAGTGATAAATTTTGAATTCTGAACATTTTTTTGTTGGTGTAGATTTGTTAAATTTGATTAAATTATAAAGAATAATGTGATTGTTAAAGAAAAAGCGGGTTTTCAAATATAAATGTGCTTGTGTCACTACTAGTAATAAATTATGGTCAAATATATGATTATATATTAAACATATGATATATTGCAGAAAAAATAACATATAAAAAATATGAAGAAAATATTTCAAAAATCTAAATCTCTAAAAAACTAGAGTTTCTACATAATTCAACAAAATTCAAAGAAACAGTTTTATTAATATATTTTGCAAGAAATCTTGACAAGAAGATATTCGGTAATAAACGCGAATATTTTATTATTTATTATAAAACAGAAAATGTGTCTTAAACCTTTGCTGCTGTAATCTTGAAATAAAAAAAAAAATGAATAATTAAAAATGTTTCGGTCGCATTCAGTTTATAATAGCTTAGAGTATTGTAAAACAATATATTTACGAGAAGATGTTTCGTTTAAAGAATTATGGAGATGAAAATGGGTGAAAGGAAGAAGTGAACGTCGCGTTGAAGACATCTCATTAGTACCTCTGCTTTAAAGCGGCGTTTCATCACCCCCTCCGACCTCTCTCACCCTTGACTGAGCCACCTAAGTAAAAATCAATAATTCCTTTATCGTACAAATTAACGTTAAGCATATTCCACCCTCGTATACAGGGTCTACGACCAACGTTACACCGTTTCCTGTCTGCCTATCCTGCATAATATCACTAGCCGCGTTCCTGAAGACTTGACAGTCCCTCTGCTTCCCTTTCAGCTCTTCTTCTTCTTGCCGTTTCTTCCGTTCAAGTGACGACGTTAGAATTCGAAATTCTGAACAACCTTTCTTCACTATGCTGTTTCACAAGATGTTTTTTCAATCGTTTAATTAATTTAATGTACTAGTGAATTGGTATAAATTTCATTTATTAATTTTGGAGTTGTTCACTTAATTCTTTATTAGCATTTGCTCTTAATTAATAGTATTATGAATGATATAAAATGGAAAAATTGATAAAATTATAGATAATTCGAGGTGTAATGTTTTGCTGGAGATGAAGGTTTAGTTTCTTCATTTGTAGTTTTAATTAATAAATTTTTATATTTCCATTTTTCTATATTTTTATTTTCTATATCTCCATGTTTCCATATTTCTATATTCTTATATTTCCATATTTCTATGTTTTCATATTTTTTATTTCCTACATTTCTAGATTACTATATCTCTAAACTTATACTGCAATTTTAAAAGATCCAACTTGTTATCTATTCAAATTTTTACATTCCCAAAACTTCTATATTTTTAGGATTTCATATTTCTAAATCAATAGAACAAGTAATTAATATTTCACATTTTTATTTCTCTAAATTTAAATTTTCTCCAACTTTCCAAATCTCTACATTCGACAAAAATTGAAGGATATTCAAATTTCAAAATATAAAAGTTTGAAAATATTAATTTTGTTGTACCATTGATTTGGAAATATAGAACTCTAACAGTCACAAATATAAAAAAAATTTGATATTTAAAAAATATAGAATTTTGAAATGAATCTTTATCCATTTGAATGTACTTCGAAGCGAATATTAAAAAATTTAGAAATATAAAAATTTGGTACTTAACCTACAAAATAACCATCTCTTGCAATATATAAACATCCCGTATTACATCGATACAAAAGGCAACAAAATTGTTATCATGAAAAAGCAGTGGTTTCTATTAAAACTTCCGTTGGAATACACGGAAGTTTCATAAACAGACAGATCGTCGACGAATTAGTTCGATCAATTCATAGCGGTGTCGGTGGTTTGCGTGCCGACGTCGGTTCAGGAAGGTCGTTAAATAATTTCAGAGCACGGTAATTAATGGCGAACGCCTTGTTATCGCGTCGAGCGTGAAACAACGCGTGCGGCTCAAGCCTCAGAACGATGTCATATTTATTTCGTTAATCTTTCACCCTTGGTTCTTCGTTCCTGCCACTAACCTCGTCGCGTCGCTATCGTTCTCCATAATGGCGGACGATAAAGAAGAGGAACGCTTATCGGAATTAACAAGCCGATAACACGACCCCTAATTTTTTACTACGAAAACGAATACGCTCACGTGCAGCCGAGATTAAGATATTCCGTGCTGAAATTGAATAGTACCTCGAGTTTTGTTGAAATTCGGTATTTCGTTGGAATTTCAAATTGCCTTGAATGAATAATAGATTACTAGAAATTTTAATTTTAATTTCAATTCTTGCAAAAGAAATGATACTAAAAATTAATTCAAAATTATGGTTTTAGTAAGTGAAAAGCGGTTACAGTTAGTAGTTCAATGTTTAAGACATGATTCAAAGGTGATATTAAAAAATGATTGAAAATTTTATAGAAATTAGTGGTTTAATGTTACAACAAAAAAAAGGATTATCATGTTAACATTTTTTATTTCATGTGTTATATAAGAAATAAATATAAAAGTGTTATGAAGAAAAATACATATTTCATGATAATAAAAATGTGTTATTTTAGATTTTATACAAATATGTATACAGAGTCCATTTTAGAGCTAGTCAATCAAAATGTGGATATGTCTGCCATATTTTGAACGGTTGTATACATGAATTGCTTCGTTTAACATATTTTTACAGTTGCTGCATAAATAATCTAAATAGCACCAAAAGTCACTCAGTATTTATTCCATGTAAGTCTAGTGTTAATAAATAAATTAAATCGCACAATATTAACTCTGAATTACCATCACAAACAGAAGCAACTGTCCCAAACAATTAATATCAATTTAACAAGACCGACGATCTTATTCCAACAATTTGGCCAAGCAGCACACGTTTTTCGATGCAAATGCAAACGCACACAACGGAATCGCACCCTCGTTATCCAGTATCACGTTTCCGTCGTATCGCATTGTGTGATCAGCGTCCAGGCAAATTAATTTGTCCGTGTGTTACGTATAATTACGATGGTCGCGAGCCATGACACGCGTTCGATTCATTAAGTCGATCGTAATGCCGATCGGGGACGGATATCCAGCGTTATAAGCTCACATTATCGAGTTTATTTCAGCATAGAACGGTGGAGACCGAGAGGAGACCTCCGGACGTAAAATTCCACCCACTCGTCACGCCCTGACGAATAACACGAGATGCAGGACGATAACGTTTTAACTGCCGGCTAACACACTACGCGACCGTGGATTATCGGGGCCTTATCGGCCGACATTACGAACCTGGTCGTGGAGAAAACGAATGGCCCACCCTGCCATAATGCGTCCCCCTTTCTGTGCCAGACTCGTGCGTGTGTGCGTGTGTGCTTATGGTAGATTAGGATAACGAAGGTTGTAAGACTCTGCTGGCTCGTCGCATGTTCTTCAACCCCATTTCCTTCTTATTCGATTGTTTCTTTTTTCGACGTGAAATACAGGTCGTAGTGATCGTCGTAAGCGCTCGAAATTACGTGACCGCCGGTTGTAATTGATTTTACCTAAGAAACTTACTGATTAATCACAGTATCTTATACATGTTTATAGTTTAATGTAGGTAAATAAGTTTAGATATCTTGCGGTTACATCATAATTGCTGCACGATGTCGATAACACCGCTATCAGAGTTAACCAGTTATTATTACAATGAGAAAGGTCTTTAACACATAAATTGAATAAATATTCCCTAACAAAAATGTGACATTTTGAAATCAATTTACTACCCTTATTTTCCTCTGCTTTTGCAAGTAAGATTGTTTGCACCCCTTAACTCGAGACACGTTTTCTGTTGCAGGTAAGATTCGTATGATCGATCAATGCTGGGCCATTCATCGAGTTCGCCAACTTCTCTGTTCGCGGTGCTCGTGACCTTGACTCGCAGGCGTCGCGACGCTAAGAGGTTTACCTTGGTAAACCCTGGTATCTCGGGATACCAGTCGGGGTCTCGGTCGAGGGATTAAGACAGGGTTGTTGAGCGAGACGACAGAGGGCTGCTGGAATCAGAACGAGAGAGACGGAGCTACGAAGGAGAAAAGGAAAAGAGGCTACTGTAACCGTACGCTCGTATAATTGATTGAGTCTAATGAGTTAAAGGGGATACCGCCGTAGCAAGGGACGGAGAAATTAAAGAGTTCTGGGTCATGAAACCAACCCTCGGGACAGCGAAAGTGCGGAAACTTAGGTGCTTCTGTTCTCCTTCGACCCTCGCGAGTCGGCCACGAGGGCGCTGATTGCAAATTAGTTAAAGGAGATGCCTCATTAGGATCAGCTGCTTTCTTCAATTTTAACGTTGCAACACGCCACCTTCTTCTTTTTATTATAAAAGTTAAGAAATTCTGAAAATTCTGTGTACTTCAAGTAATTCTAAAATCCACTTGAAAAATTTATTTTTAATAAGTGTTGATTTTTAATTAGCTTTAATAAGTTTTTAAATTATTTTACTGTCTGTCGCTACGTACATATGACGTGCATGATACCATTTGTTTTAACCCTTTGACATATGTGTTGTTAAGTATACAACGCTACAATATTAATAAGGTTCAAATATGTCACAAAGATTTATAAAGTGAAAATCTTTTGTCAATTAATCAGCAACCCTGCAGATTATAATTGGACTTAAACTTCGAATTGCTATATATTTAAAATTTGATTAAAATCGCATGTGAACTGTGAGTATCACACCTGTCAAGGGTTAAATTGATGACTTGCATTTTTGTCGAAACGAAGAGTAATATAAATTAATGTTTCCGTTTACGTTTAATGTACGTAAGCCGTGGGTAACAATGTATGAGATGTATAAGACAAATTATCAAAAATGTATGTATCGCGTAGCATCCGTCGCAATCTCATTCCATCTGCGCGATATTACTTTTCCGCGAAACAGTATCTCGAGAACGTCTCGGCTTTAGCCGGTGTGGCTTTTCAATTTGCGTGAGAAGGAGGTGGAAGCTTCTGATGGTGGAAAGGGGATGCGGCGACGTCAGCAGGAGGAACGCGGGTAAGAAAGAAAGCAAGCCGGCACACGAGAGAGACCCGGTGTCTTCCACATCCCCCAGGGAAATTATTGACAGTCAGCGAGGAAATGACGTCGTAAATACCACGTCGGAGGCCCCCGAACCCTCCACGACCTCCATCGGCGCCACCTTCTTGCGTTTCTTCCCGCGTAATCCCGTTCCTGCTTTGTTTCCTTCGCGCCTTCCTTCCTCGTCCCTTGGCCACCAATTGATTCGATACGTTGCTTCTTCTTGTCTTCTGGGGGATTTTTTCTTACGGGGACTAACGAGACAGACGTGCTTCCCTTTATTTTTAGGAGCTTTCTGGAACGGGGATTTAGTTGGATGTCTTTAACCCTTTGACTGCGTACTTTTTTACGAAATCAATATGTGGGGACGTTGCAGTATATTATACTAAATAAAAAAGGTACTATGTGTGTTAGGTCAAAAGAGATGTTTTTGAACATTCTATAATTTGCAGCTTTGTTTTCAAGATATGTGCGAATTAACATATATTGATAGATATGTGAAGACGTGAATGTACAATTTTATTTAAGCAGTTTTTACGTAGCACAATTTTATTCACCATTTCCTTAAACTTAGTTTTTTAACAAAGTTGACCTTGAAATGTTCTCACATTAATTTTCTAAATATGGATAACCTTCAAATGTCCTCATATCAATTTTCTAAACATAGATGACCTCGAAATGACCTCATATGAATTTTCTAAACACATATGATCTTGAAGTGTCCTCATATGAATTTTCTAAACATATATGATCTTGAAGTGTTCTCATATCAATTTTCTAAACACATATGATCTTGAAGGGTCCACATATGAATTTTCTGAACATAGATAACTTTTAAATGTCCTCATATCAATTTTCTAAACATAGATGACCTCGAAATGACCTCATATGAATTTTCTAAACACATATGATATTGAAGTGTCCTCATATGAATTTTCTAAACACATATGATCTTGAAGTGTCCTCATATGAATTTTCTAAACACATATGATCTTCAAGGGTCGTCATATTAATATTTTTAATACCGATGACTGTATAATGTCTTCATATTAAACCTCTCACTTATTCAACTTGTATATGACACTATTTATAATGAAATAATATTAGACCATCCATTTGAAGTAATTTTATACTTATCTCAAAAAATATTAGCTACTAACTTCATCAAATCTAAAATATTACTACTCAAACATTTATTACTGATCTTTATCAAATTTCCTAAAATATTAATTATTAATTTTTTTCAAATTTACTGCTAGCTTAATATAACACATCCAAACAATACCCTTACAAATAAAGAAGCGCTTAACCAACGCGTTAAACGTTTATAGAACGTTAAAAAAAAAAGAATGAAAGGAAAACGGAATACTAAAAGTGAACAAAATATTAAGAGTAAACTACGCAAAGTTTTACATTAAGTATCTCGTAAGGAGTTATCGCTGTTGCTAGCGAAACGTGCAGTTCCCCGTTGACCGTTGTTGTCGAACAACTTTTCTGCATCTCAACGTTCACGATTGTCGTGTGGATTATTTAACTTCTCTTTCGACCGATCTTTCAGGCCGCAAATGGAACATTGTTGAACGGGGTGCTTTAAACGCTGGTTTTTTCTTGGTCGACAAGCGTAAACTGAAAAGAGGCTGGCTCGTTATTTTTCGCGGAAGCGTCCTCATTTTCCGGCGGGGCGTTCCCTTCTCGAGGGAAAATTTTAGGGAATATTTTACGCGCGAATTACGAGCGTATTTTAAGGGGAACGGAAGTGGATAGAACAGAATAAAAGAGGTAGAATTAAAAGATTTTATGAGACAGTTCTATCGGCCAAATACCGAGTGGCACTGTAACTTGATTCTGGAATGAAATACGATGCTAATTTTGCATAAATGAATTTAAAACATTAATATAAAACTTAGTTATGCAATTACGTTTTCGGTACCTTTAATTTTGTATACTATCGTTATATTTCTTTTTAGTTATTTGTCCATAATTCTGTCAAATTATTTTACATGAATGAGTAATAATAAGGTATAAATACTTTCTGTACATTAACAGATTAAATATTCCAAAGTTGCATTATTAATTTTTAATTAAAAATATTTTCAATCTAAATGCTTAACGTAATATATTATGACTATGTTAAAAATTCACTATGTTAATTATTGAGTATATTAAAAATTTATGTTTATTAAGTATTGGATATAGTAGGTATTAACTGTATCGACTATTGACTACATATGCTGTTGGTTGTATTGGCTATTGACTTTTATAAATTATTTGTTGACAGTTGTCTATATTGACTATTGGTCATAATAACTATTGTCTATATTGACTATTGGTTATACTGATTATTGGCTATATTGGTTATTGTCTATATTAAATATTGACTATATTGACTATTAGCTATACTGATTGTTGACTATATTAACTATTGACTGTACTGACTATTGGCTATATTGATTATTGGCTGTACTAACTATTGCCTGTATTGACTATTGACTAGATTGACTACTGATTATATTAACTATTGACTATATTGATGGTTGACTATATTGACTATTGACTATATTGATTATTGACTATATTGACTATTTACTACATTAACTGTTGACTACATTGACTACTGGCTATATTGATTATTGACTATATTGATTATTGACTATATTGACTATTGGCTATATTGATTATTGACTATATTGACTATTGGCTATATTGACTATTGACTATATTGATTATCGACTATATTGATTATTGATTAAATTGACTATTGGCTATATTGACTATTGACTATATTGATTATCGACTTTATTGATTATTGATTAAATTGACTATTGACTGTATTGATTATTCACTATATTGACTATTTACTATATTAACTGTTGACTACATTGACTATTGGCTATATTGGTTATTGGTTATATTGATTATTGGCTGTATTAACTATTAGCTATATTGATTATTGGCTGCATTAATTATTGGCTATATTGATTAGTGGCTATATTAATTAGTAGCTATATTAACAACCTACTATATTGACCATTGGTTACATTAAATGTTAACTATTTCGTCTGTTGGCTATATCGAATATTAACTGTAGCAACCATTAATTGTATTAATTATATTAACTATCAACTATACCAACTATTAACAGTAGTGTCTACTAACTATACTGACTATTAGTTATATCAAGCATCAACTAACTATCAACTACATCAACTATCAATTATATCAACTGCGTCAACTATAATTATCTACTAACTATATCAATTATCAGCCGTATTTGTTACTATCTTATTTTAATAAAATGAATAGATTATGTTATTATTTTATATAATTTACAGGTTATTTAAGATACAATGACTAACAGCTGTATTCAATACAACCCGTACGAGTTCAGTCATCTAAAACTGCTACCGCGTTAAACCAGCGCGCACCGCAAAGGCTTTCTTTCAGTTTCAAAAAGCGAAACATGAATCCAAGCATCGCTATTCCACTCTTCCTCTCCGCAAACGATCGCTGTCTAAAAACCGTGCGGGACTCTATTAACGCTTCGACGAGTGCTTTGCAAAGCGGGTCGTTCGTGTTTCCCGCGAAGTGCGAGCGTAATCCGCGACAAAAAACCGGGCGTCTTTGCGGAAAACAGAGAGCGTCGTTCCCGGCGCCGCTGAACACCGCGCCGTTAGAATAGCCCCGCGTAAAAAGGCCGAAACTCGTTGTCGTAATGTTTTCACCGGGAATATTGCAAGTGATGCCCTTCCCTTCTCCGCCTCGGCCCGTTATCCCGAGTTCCTCCGCCGCGTGGCGGAGAACGAACGCATTATTCGTGGAAACGATCCTTCCTTTCGCCTCGCGGCCACGAAGAAAAGGGAGTTCTCTCGGCAACGAGAAGAAAAAGAAACGAAAAAAGAAAGCTGGAAGAGGAGGAGAGGATTACCGGGACGGTGGGAAGCGGAACGAAGACGGAAGTGTATCTCTCGCGAAGACGAAAGCGGAGAACGAGCTGCTACCGGAGCGGCGAGGAGGCGGAGAGCCGCGAGATCCGTCGGCTAAGGGTAGTTATTATAATAAATTTGTCGGGGATTTAAGAAGCGGAAACAATTCAGAACTGCGAGTGACTCTAAGAATGTGCTTATCGTTGCTTTTATTCAAATGGGAGTGGAAGGCGACGAGCTGGGCCGGATGCGACCTGCATCTCTGCGACTCGCTTTTTATGCCCTCCCCCTCCTCGGCCAACCCTCCTCCTTTATGTTTTCGCTCGTTTCTCCGTTCGCTTCCGCGGCACCGTTTATAAGGAAGATGGTAAACGTGTTTCGAGACCGAGAGAAAAC